TCATTTGTGAGGGAGAATTATATTTATCGTGAGGGATGTATCGTATATTTAAATTTGGCAAAGAAAATATATATCTTTTTGATGTTCATGCGACTTAATATAAAAATTAAACTGGAAAATCTGTTTGTAATTTTGCATACAAAAATAAAATTACTCATATACATCCTTCATAGTAAAAATTATATAAAAAAAAATACAAAAAAGTTTCCTGTCAAAAGTTCAACAACCTATTGAGTATAACACGCGTCAAACCGAACGCGACTCAACAAAAGTAACGAATGCTACAACAAAATAAAACTGAACATAAAATAAAAATCCGTTGGATTTATAATTCTGATTCAGTCGAGCGTTCATCCCCGTACAGTGCTAAATAATACACTATTATTATATATTATTATTAATAGTTATGAGATTATTGTCATTAAAATATAATCACTATTGACTTGAGCGGTTGAAGAAATAAATACAATCGCCTTTTACCATTTGATTGACTCTCAAAGACGATGCCATCTAATTGTGTTGACCCCACCGCTGTTTTCACTTCATTATGAATGTTTTAAAATAATGGAATTCTATTTTAATAGCACATTTTTAGTATAATAATATTGACTTTATGTTTTGTTTGTAAAATAAATAATGTAGATTATAAAATCTTTGTATAATCTATTGACCGGTATTTGTAACTTGACACCGGCTGTCAATGTCAATTGGTTTTGATGACAACGAATCAATTCCGGCGTCAAGATATATTCTGTGCGTCACAATTACTCCGTCACGCATCCATTACACCCTTATCCGTAAAATAATATGAAACAAATCAATAATCAATTTTCCGCCAACCCGTCCGTGTGTTTGTTGGGATTTATTATTCTGGCAACATCCGTCTAGCGGAAAATCTGTCGACTTGAAGCTTTACAGCGGATATTTTTATTTATTATCTGTAATCGCATGAATACGTTACCTTTTTTTCACGCTTATTAAAATAAACATTTATACTGAGACTTGAATTTTAATATATCTTTTTATAAAGCATTTCTCTTCGTAACTAAACTATGAATGTGAATCAATTAATTCAACAAACATGGGAAAGCACCTAATAAACGGTTGCATTACAAAATCTCTGAATACTCATTGTATAGAACTCCTCTACGTAGACGACGTCTTAACTACCCCGCGGCGTCTTATTGACAAACTGCCTATAAGTCAATCAAACAATGCCTGTATTGACCCATTTCTTTACAAGTAAATCGACAATTAAATTTAAATATCCAAAACGTGGGAATATATCGTATTAAGTGTTGACTTGTGTCTTGACATGGGCGGGTGAAATATTTTCTAGAAGGCGTACAGGGGCGTTGTGCGGTCGCATTGTTTCGATTATATAGAATTTATTATGTTTTATATGTATGGGAAGAAATAATTAAATTAGCGAGTACAATACACGCTGTTATATGAAATAATATGAAAAATTCAATAAAAATAATAACAGATAGATTTAATTGATGTTTTAATATTAATAAAATTAATAAAAATAAGAGAAAAGTTGAATAACACAGCGGTTGGAGGTACATGCATTCCAATTTCGCGATTGATCGTAGAACAAAGGACTTTATCAATGGATAGCGAAAAAAAATATCACGGAAAGGTGAGCAGTTGTTCGCTTACGATGCAGCTTGAGATTTGAAGTCAAAGTCACCCAAAATATTGACTCGCAAAGTGCCGAGTCACACAATACGCAGCAGGTTGCCCATTGAAAGACCCTCTATATATGACAATTGGAGTAATGCACTGCTTTTTTATTACAAGCTTTATAATTTTCTATTTTAAACAATGGTCGTGATAGAAAATGATAAATTTTTTAAATCTAAGTATCTTTTGTTTTACACGTCAGAAACAGTACTAGCTTTACACTTGACACTCACACATATATGTATCTGTGTGTGTGTTTAAAAAATTTTCGTACAAAATTAATTTAATTACAAACGATATAATGAAAATATAAAATCGATATAGACCCTCTATTTGCTCGATTTTACACAACGCTCTTTACAAGATGGGTCTCGCATAAAAAAAGCGCTCTTTAAGCTTATTGAAAAGTATTCTCGCCCTACGTTCACGGATTCTGAGCAAATATAAGATAATTCTTGCGCCTGAACTCACACGCTATTTAGGGGCACCTTTCATTTACTGTACCGTACGTTAGGTGCATATAATGTGATTTATATTTACAAAACACGTTGAATTTCCGATATCAATTAATATTGGATGTTAGAAGAATAAATACACTCTTATAAGGTTTCGTACATAATATTATTCTTCTTCTATCTGGCAAGAAGAAGAGAAATATAAAATAATATTATGTACGGAACCTTTAAGAGTGTTTTTGTTGTTTTAAATGAAAATAAAGTATAACGCTTTATACTAATTGCGAAATGTATTGGTAAAAAAAAAGAAAAATTCACGATATGTGTAAGTAATTATTTTTTATTTATCAATATAAAATATGTTTAATTGATATACAATTAATTATTATTTATTGCGATTAATAGAATCAAAGTTGTAATAATTTTAAAGATTAAAACATAGAAATATCCAAGGCATTGCAAAAAATAAGGGTTCAACTTTAACCATAATCTTGTATCGCTTAAACTAAATTTTTCTTTGTTTAATTACTATTATTATAAGTCAGTTAGTTACAAAATCTAGAACTTCATTTCAGTTACATGAACACAAGTAACAATTGTATTTACAAATAAATTATTTGACCCTTAATTTTCTTACTTTTATGAATTCTACACAATAATCTCTCTCTAAACAATAATTTTAATTCATTTATAAAAATACATATATTAACATTAAAACTATGTAGGTTTTTTCCTTTAATTCCTAGTTTTAGTCCTGACATATTTCGAACTAGTGCTTTGCTGCAACATTACTCTTATTAAACATATTCATAATAATAATTATTAAACAAATGTTAATAAACAGACTTTAAAAATCTTTATAACATTTTTAATCTGCTTTTTTATAGCTTATTTTTATTTAATTATTCTTTATTTTCATATGAAGCCAAAATGATTACTAGTTTTTCATCAACTCACAATATTACGTTTTGGTACAACACAAATTACATATTTTTTGTATTATTGAAAAGAAATTACAATCTACAAGTTACCTTAAATGTAATTATAGATAAAAAAAAACAATATGGCGGGATTAAGCCTGAGCATAGAACATATGTTTTTTTATTTAATCATAATTTTTTTCATATATAAAGTCGACATACTACTTTAAAACATCTAATCCCATGCAAAAAGTTTAAATCGCATTGCGAAAACGCATTACGCATTTTTTATTTCAACAAAAAAAAAACAAAACCACATTTGAGTGTAATCACATGAGAAACCATTGTTGGATAAATAAAAAAATATAAATATATTAAAGAAAATCAATTCATGTGTACACGCGAGTATAAACATATTTCATTAAAGGGTTATTTACTAATTGGTGAATTAAGCAAGTACAATCGCGGGTACAAGTCAATGGGCGTGTAAAACGAATTAAGAACATTTACAGGTCTGTGGTAGTTTTTTTTTTTCGGGAACGACCACTGCGCAGACGTTTTTCACACATGGCCACACCCGGGTCGCTTGAATGTGGATAATATTTTTATTTTAATATAACAGAACTTTGTGTATTTAAACATTTTTTTGTTTTTTTTTTTAATTCTGTTATAGTCCTGTGTATTTTAATGGCGTTTAAAATGTTTTTTTTAATTAAAAGATCTAAATGAATTGTGACTTAAATAAGAGCAATACAAATGGTTTGTTGTTTATTGAATATAATATCAAAAACATTTAATTAGCGCGACTCATTGGCTGTCAACTCCTTGTTGTGCCGCTTGTTATAAATTTCCGTTTCATTTTATTTTCAAACTCAGAAAACTCTTTCGAACATTTTTCTAGTCGAATAGTCGAAACTAAGATCACGGAGTTTTAATTAGACTGCTTGTTATAATTTTCTCATCGAACAACTCTATCGGACTTTTGCACAATTTATTTATTAGCACATCAAAGGAGTTTCATTGATCAACAGAAATATAAATCATTAATTGATGCTGGCCGAATTACGATTTAAAAAAAAAAACGGAAACAACATTATCCGTGTCAAAGAACTGTCAAGTATCAAAGTCATCGAATCATAGAGTATAAAAACCGCGTTCGTTTTTCGAACGTGCCGCGCTTTCTCGGTCGATCGGGCATCGCGTCAGCTGCCATTCAGCCGACAGGGCGGACCACCGCGGCTGCGTATCGGGTTACATTCTATCGTCTTACTGCCTTCCTGTCCTACGTCTAAGTTACGCGCTACGTCCGTTTGGCGCGCTGTCACATGACAGTGACAGTTGGTAGGCCGGCTGAGGACCGATGTGTCTTGGGTTCCTTACTTTTTAACTAGGGTGGCCTGGCCGTTTAACAACTAATGTGTATTATATTACATTAAAAATGATATATCTATATACTATTACTACTTAAATTTTGTATCATAGTTACTGAAATGACTGTAAGATCAACTTAATATTTGATAAAAAACCCTGGTACACATTTTCAGACAATTCATACATTTCAAACAGATTAATTTCTTAATTCTTTCGTCTAAGAAAAATATATTTATGTTTTACGCCAATAATCTATTTCTTAAATTATTTTGGTTCTATTATGAATCTTCTTATAAATATAATTGATTATATTTGTTATCGTTTCCACGCCTCTCTGATCGCATGTTGTCAGTTTGTCCACTGTATCATTATCGATAGAACTTCCACCCAATTATAACAGATAAAAATTGATAACCCAATCTATATTCGGGAGGTCTGATGTTCAATTCCAATCCGAGTCTACAAAATTTTTCTTTTATTATCATCAAATTATTTTAACAAAAAAAAAGAGGTATATATTATTGAAATCCTCATTCTTATATGTTTTTTTGTTGATTTCAACCAGGTTTCGTCAATTAACCGCGTGTTACGCAACCTGGCTGCTCAGAAAGAGAAGTCTAGCAACCAACAACCGTCAAATGATTGTTCTACGCCTGTGTACGAGAGGTTGCGGTTGTTGGGTACCCCGGGGTCAGCGCCAACTTGGCCGAGGTCACCTTGGCCCACGCAGATAGACACAAGAACACCACCTTACCAGCTACACAGCTTAAGCCCCGGACCTCAAGCTATTGGCTGCAATGGAACAGAATTACCGATCATGAAGAAAGGTTAGTGCTATTAATTACTATTCTTACATTATGACGAATTATAGCTTGAAGTAATTTCAAATTGAATCATACTTGAGTTTTTGATTAACATTTTCGTCTTCAATAATCTTGGTTGTTTTAAAGTAAACGAAATTTAGAGTTGCTAATATAAAAAATGTAAAACGAAATGTAAAAAACGAGTCAGCACCAACAAAATATTTAGATAAATTAAATTAGAAATCCTTTGTATAACTTGATTGTAAGAAATTATAAAAACATCTGCTTATAAAAAACAGAAGTCTAGACTTAAAATTAATCGATATACATCCTCCGTGCACATGACTTTTTTAACTAGATTCATAACTGGCCGCAGACGAGCAATTAAAAAAAAACACCAAAAAAGGCCAAACAATCCCGGTCACACTGTCTGCGTGGAACAGAACTTTTTTTGTCCACATTTTCGCCGGCATTTTGATAGTCGATTTGCGGCTCCCCCCCTAAGGGGCGCCTCCAGTACCGTCAAAAACATTACTCTGCTCATCCGGTTGGAAGATTTAATTTTCATTTTTATCTCAAACATCCCCTTTGTAGTGGTCTGTACTCTGTATCCAATTAGGTGGCTTTGAAGATTTTTCTGGTACATAACTGCAATCTAAAGTTATGGAATTTTTAATTTCGATACCCTATTAGAATAAACGTTTGTCTTATTGACGTTTGACGCCATTTTGATCGGCGCGTACGTGAATCTGAGTAATGCTGTCATAAGAAAAAAAAAGATTTTTAAGATTATAAATAATACCATTAAAAGAAAAATAAATTCTTGATATAAATTATATATCTAATTTAAATGAGCTTCACACTATTAGGTTACTATAAACTGGACTAAGCCCTCGGGCTAGTTAACGTAACAAGATTAAACGCTTTGTGATTTTGATTATATTCTGGCTACATTTAATACAGACGTTTGTTGCTAAATAGAGCCATATTTAATTTGAACATCCCTTAACACTCCAATAAGGATTTAATATAAAAAAAATCAAAATTGACATTGACATTAAATTGTCAGACCAAAGACAATTTTACCTTTTTAAAATAATTATCATTATCGAGGGTGGAATCAAAAATAAAATTCCTTACAATTCATGACAAATCAATAGCTTGAATAGCTCACAGACAAGGTCAAAGTACGACACCGTGAAATCATTTAAGGAACCAAAACTAAATAAAGGGAGGCTTTGATAAATGATGGAAGGAGACGGAAGATATGACACTATGATGATAGAAAGAGAGGGAAAAGCGTCTGGCCTCTTAAGATAAGAAAGAAAAATGTCGCGAGATATATCCCGAGGGTCCAAATAAATGGTTATCATGGGGTTCCGTAGTAAATTAGTGAGATGTATTGCCAGTTAAATATTTATAGTTGCTAAATAAATGGAATGGCAACATTTCAGGTGAGCACATGTAATTTATACCGCCATTCTATTAAAGCATTCATATAAATATATTTCATTCAAGAAAAAAAACATTCTTTATAACAAATAAATTCACATTTCCATACAAATACGTCAAATATATCATGTCTATACGAGTAAAGTATCAGACGCAGGAAAAGACGAGAGAAAAAAAATATTAAAAGAATAGTATGAAAATGTTTTATAAAAGCGACTAACGCGTCCTCTTTGAATATAGAGTATCGAATAATTCATGATTTTTTTGGCAAAGTTTTTCGGGAATATATTCAGGTAGTTTCTGTTGTACGACAAAGAAAACTAATTATATTATACGCACAATATATACTCAATATTTTCTGTAAAAAACTGATAATAACTTATTTGGATAAATTCAATACTTATTTATATAAAATGTTACGAATATTTTTCTTACAATGTGTATGAATTTTATTCTACATCTCGTGATTTTTTTATATTTTTTCTTAAGATTTATTTTAATGTGTGTGTTTTAATTTATGTGTGTTTGTGTGGGTGAAAATGTATATTTGAGGGTAGGTACATATATATTCATCTTGTCTGTATTATGCCTAACTATTATTTGAAATTTCCGTAGCCTACTAAAATGTAAAAAGCATACATTCAAATTATTTTTTCTTCTCCTCTTATATCATAATGACCATACCTTCTTTCTTGCCAGTAACAAATATTCATAACATTAATATTATGTAACTTAAAACCAAATTAATCAAATATATTAAATTATAATTTAATCTTCAAAGCCCACATCACACTATGACAGACAGACAACACACACACACGTATAATATATATCTGTAAAATAATTATATAGATTACACACACATATAAAGATCGTATGTACGTATGTCGGCGCTTCAAAGCGAGCGGCTCTAACCCTTTTGATCTGCGAAGTGCTCCAAATAGCTATGGTTAGCTCTAGCCCTTATATTTCGATGTCTTAAATCTTTTGAACATAATATTTCATAATATATATTAAGGTTTTCCCTTAATTATTAATATGATTAAATATTTTTATTCGTTGATTACATTAAAAATATATAATGAAATTTTCTTTACTATTTGGTGATTAAAATCAATTATAAAACCTCTTTTGTGCGCGTTAAAATTTATCGAATGAAATTACATTCAAATACCTAATAGACTTAACCGCTAACAAACAAAGGGCGGAGGACAAAACAACGGGATTCCGCACAAAATAGCAATTAAATAACGCATCACCCTCCAACGACTCGGACTGACCATAGAGAATATGGACATAGACAGATAAAAAAGGATTTAACAGATTATAAACCTCTTTGAAAACATAATACAGTATATAGAACCTTTTTTGTTTATTTTAATTTGTAAATCGAAAAACATTAATATAATTTTGTAACAATTATTTAGTTATAAACAAATACATTATATTTAAAAGTATAACTATCATATAGAACCTTTTTGCTTATTACAATTTTTAAATCGAGAAACAATAACTTAATTTTGCAATAATAATGAAATAGAATATAATTTAAAAATATCTACACATATAAATAAACAGAACAAATAATAAAAGTGTAGATGATCAAAAAATTATTCATTCGGCTAGTCAAACAATGTTAGTGTGTGCGAAGCTTTGAGGGCCCGCGTCCAATAACGCATATAACAGGATTATGGTACGTTAAAATGTACGTAAAAGGCCGTTTTAAACCCTTCCCGGGCCCCGTGTGTAATTACGTCTGTTAATTTGTATGGCTATTACCTCACATCTATCTTGTTTGCTTGTATCGCGGTTGGAATGATATTTAAATTATAAACGAGAATTGTAGATGGTTTTCGTATTGAAATTTTTTATTTTTTATATTTTGTATCTGTAATTAAGTTATCTGTGGGCTTTTAGTATAGTCTGTGGTATGTTATAGGGTAGCTTTTATATACTGTATTATTTGTGAGTGAACTTTATTGAAATATATAATCTATACAAATCAATAACTTCAAAAGTACAGTGAAACCTTCAACGTAGCATCTTAAATATCAATAAATGAATATAATGTCAATAGTTTTAATCGAAAAATACTAGAGAAAGTTATAGCCTACATATTTTCAAACATACCTAAATATTAAAATTAAAAATACCTATATTTTTCTAACAAATATATAAGGTACATTTACATCACGTTCAGTTATACCAAATCTCGGTTAAAAATCTGAAATCATTACTTTCAAACAATATCAGATCAATAAAAATTCGAACGTATTAAATAACCAAGTATAAAAAAAACTAAGATTTTCAATAAAAGATAAGCAACGTAAGTTTGTAATAAAACAAGTAATATAAATTATTATGGCATCATTTCATTTCATATAAATAATGGCAGGGCTGAAAGACCAATGGGCGGAGCGTATTACTGCCGCCCTGGTGCGCGCACCAAGTAAACAACTTGTCTATAATTATACCACATACGGCTGTATATGGCCGTATATAGCTGTATATAGCTGTATACGACTGTATATAACGCCCGCGTACCTGACGTACGATGTTTAAAATACACATTTAAAATGCGTCTATCAATTTGTGTGTATAATAAAGAAAGATGATTTCTAATATATTAATATTGTCTATACTTAAAATAGATGTGCTTACTAGACTGTAAAATATTAAAGGAGGTTGTATTAAAGATATTATTTACCGTCACGTATAGATAGATATTTTTTTTAAATCTATGAATTTTATGTAGAATTTGACAGATTATTTGTATAAATTTGACAGTTTAAAATGAAAAATTGACAGATTATTATTATCATTGATATAAATCTTTATGATGATTTTAACTTCATAGAAATATAGTTACTATAATATATTATTTATTTGTGTCTAAAAACTTTTGACACGATGATTTTAACACGTTTCTTAATGGAGAATACTTTTTATTTTTGTTCGTATATGTACAAATACGTGCATAATTATGTTTATAAAATCCAGTACATATAGAGTTTTAGTATTTTGACCAAATAACGGTACTAGGTATTAAGAATTACTTACTCTACATGAGTAGGTAGGTATTTATATGAAATAAAAAAGGCATTATTTTTTTAATTCAATGCGTTTTCAAGTACCTAAATTGCGTTGTGCCAATGTAGTGAGTCATCTTTAATTTATACTTATATTGAAAGAAATTTAAGTTTTAGTTTTACGTAATATATAAAGATTTCATAATATGTATATTAGATGAATTAGTAACATATAAGTAGGGTAGTTAAGTAAAAAGACGTAGAGGTATTAAAACAATAATTTTTAGTCATTTGAAAAAATACATTTACAGATTTGTAATTTCAGGTAGGTATTTACTAATTTTGTCATTTTTTTGTCATATTTCACCTCGACGTTAAACTTGCATATTTTAGACTTAACTAGCTGACCCGGCAAAAGTTATTTTGCCATATTTACAAAATAGAGGTTGGTGATAATAAACATTTTGAGTTGTATTTTTTAATGCCACATTATAAAATAATAAATCAAAAGAAATTCCAAAAATTAAAAATGAACAACTCTTA